CAAGCAAACATCGGGAACCTGTTTGTTCATTTTGTTGATGTTTGGAGGAGAGCTCTAACTCTCACAGCATTTATATATCATCATCTGTTGTTGTTATATATGGTGTCCTGCCACGCCCCCAACATGGAGCCTGGGTCTCTGATGCTTAGTAATGCTTATAAACGTGTGACAGATATCGCTCGGACCATATGTACAAGTTAACAACTAGTGGATTTAACAGCATGATTCTGGTGCAGAGTAGCTGTCAGCACCCAGGACGAGGTGTGAGACGTGCAGGACAGCCATTAAGGTGTAACTTCTGATGCATTCTTCACGTGAGCACAAAATTTACAGACTTGTACATACAATCATCCACATAACACAGACACCCACACACTCCACTCCTGATCACATCTCACTTTGTGATTTTGTCTCTACGTGCTAGCTGAGTTAGTGACTCCTCACATGTAAGATATATCTACATTAACATTATCTGGAGGACTAATGCCACGAAAGAGTTGTTTATATTGTGTCGAATATAAACAATAAGCTCTTAAATAAAGGCAAACAAAATCCTGAACTGAAATAAGATCACGGGTGGAGTTTGCATGGGAATGATATCTTTATTTAATTAAGAGAGGGAGATAGTGTAGGCCGAACCAGACGTAGGGAGGGAGGGAAGGGTCATATAAACCATTAAGTGACTAGTTCATTTTGACCCTAAAGTCCAGCTTCAATAAGGATCTCATTCCACTGTCTGGCCAACTTATGCATTAGCTTTATTGACGACTTTTCCCTCAAGATCTAAAAATCTCTAATCACGTGACTTGTGTACAACTATTATAAGTGGTAAAAACAAATGAAAAGTGCCAACCCAACTATACTAGAGATTCGATACTATGAACACCATTCTGTCGCAAGAATCCCATATGAAGTGATTACAAAGTATCTAAATTTATCCCATCATGCATAGAGGATCCGATACAATAAAATTGTTATACCAGTAATGATTAAGACTTGATACTATGGAGTATAGGGTCTTAAATGTCGTCTGTCCGAAGATCAGCCTAGAGTATTGAACATCATTTTTTTCAACTTTTTCCTATAATGTACTCGTATGCCACAAACTGTACCAGAAAATAATATATTTCTAACGTAATGGATTCGTTTTTAAGGTTTTGGCTTTGTTCTTGTATAGGATACATACATACACTTTTATACAGAATTATAGACATACAAAGCAATAACACTTAGGAAGGTTGTGAAATATACTTTTTCTCGAAATTTTGAATCTGCGACAAACATCATGCCATTTGAGAGGCAAAACTTCGTAACGATTATGGTAGACAGACACTGTGTACAGATCTGTAGATGATAAAGACAAAAACAGTAGTTTGGTAACTTTATTCAAATTTTGGTTTGTACAATAACTTGCTGCACAAAAACTATTTCAATAAAGTTTCCCATTAATCTCTCTTATAAAGCTAGTCTATGTATGTTTTTTTTTTTTTTTTTGGAAAATGAAATTAAAGAAAGTGAAAGTTGAATAGCCTATTCAATTTTGAATGCACTTTTTTCAGTCGCATTAAAGAAAATTGCATTATTTAGAGGAGCTTAACAAGAAAGCTAAGTGCTTGTTTCTTCTCATACCATCTACCAGAACCTATATTTACTGACCATGTATACTCTAAATATTTGATGAAGGTGTTTAGAAGTACAGGTCGTGTATATATGAAGGCTGGCTCTATACAGCATCTCTCTACCATACCAGTTTACTGATGCCTTGAACCTAGATTAGAAAATGTCAGTAAATATTATTTATGGAGAGAAGTGGTGGTGTAGGGCAGTACTGGGATGACGTGAGGAGAGAGAGAGAGAGAGAGAGAGACCCTTATCAACTGGACTGAACTTGCAACTGGCCAACAATAAGGCTAAATGAGTCGATAGATGTGGACTTTTTTTTTTTTGTGAAGCACTAGATTCTGCTTCCTCAACTTATCCCCGACTCTCAGCACCTGAGTGGCAGAACACAGCCTCACACTCCACCAGTAGCACACTCCACCAGCAGCATACATCACCAGTAGCACACACCACCAGTAGCACACACCACCAGTAGCACACTCCACTAGTAGCATATACCACCAGTAGCATATACCACCAGTAGCACACTCCACCAGCAGTATACATCACCAGTAGCACACACTACCAGTAGCACACACCACCAGTAGAACACTCCACTAGTAGCATATACCACCAGTAGCATACACCACCAGTAGCACACTCCACTAGTAGCATACACCACCAGTAGCATAACACCACCAGTAGCACACTTCACCAGTGGCACACTCCACCAGTAGCATACACCACCAGTAGCACACTCCACCAGTAGCATACACTACCAAATAGCACACACCACCAGTAGCACACTCCACCAGTAGCATACACCCCCAGTAGCACACTCCACTAGTAGCATACACTACCAATAGCACACACCACCAGTAACACACTCCACCAGTAGCATACACTACCAATAGCACACACCACCACTAACACACTCCACCAGTAGCATACACCACCAGTAGCACACTCCACCAGTAGCATACACTACCAGTAGCACACTCCACCAGTAGCACACACTACCAGTAGCACACTTCACACATCACAGGGACCACTGACTGACGTACATAGCTACGAACGTCAGATAACTTGTCTAAGGCAGGTATCTTCTCTAACCCTTTCAACGAGTGTCCTGGGCCCTCAAGGGGCTCTTCATCCGAGGAATCAGAACAACTATCCCCTTCCTCGCCTCAAACCTGAGGCTAATGCGAGCCTCAAAAACATCGTCACCACACAGAGCATTAAACAAGCGAGAAACCACTCTATTTATAGAGGACATTTCGCTCTAAATAAAGTCATACTTAGAGCAAAACGACGTCTGTAAATATAGGCTTGATATGTAAATGGTCTTTTTAATACTTGTGATCAAGAAAGGATATTAAGATAGTGTCAGTACTGAGTGAAAAGAGTGTGAGGCAGCGCCTGACACCTCATACCAAGAAAGACACTTTGCAGTGAAAACTTTATTACAACGTTTCGCCCAAGATCGGACTTTACTGCTGGTAAAACGTCGTAATAAAAGTTACACTTGTAACACAGTCTTTCTCACTACCTGTCGGCAAACGCCATCTTTCATTCACTTACTATACTTCTCCTCACCTGCATGAACAGACACAAGCTGCAGAAAACGCGTTTATTAGGACAACGTTTCGCCCTGTGTAGAGCTAAATATCAGGTCAACAAGTCCAGTGATGAATATGACACACGCGCAACACTTTGGTATCTTAAATATAGCGATGTGTTCCACATTTGTCTACAATTATAAGTAGGATAATGGCTACGAATTTCTGCCAATGGGACATCAGTGAGTACTTAATTAAACCCCACTGTCATGCTTTCCAACAATACTAGACTTGTTGATAGGCTAAATACTGGGTCCATTATGTATCTGTAATCTTTTAACCACCGCCCACAGGATGGATATAGGTTATAGAAAGATATTAAACAAAACTGATAGGATAAAATAAGTGCTTTATGGCATATTACTGAGAGGACATTACATGCACCAGTGATTTTCGTTGATTCTCTCATCGTGAGAAATGAGAAAATACCTGGCATCCAAAACGTCTTCTCATATAAATGTGTTAAATTTCACATTGTCTAATTAACCTACCTGTTCGTATATTCTCACACTGACGCACCACTAGGCTAGGAGAAGACAAAGGCCAGGTTGACGATATTTGGTATAAAAAAGAGCAATGTTTCACCCAAAATTGGGCTTTTCAGGTACTCCAAGAAGCCTAATGTTGGGTGAAGCATTGTGGAAATAAAGGTCTTCCACTGTTTTTGTATCTTACAGCTTTATCTATGCAATGTTTCACCCAATAATGGGCTTTTTCAAATACTAAAAAGCCTAATATTAGGAGAAACGTTGTATAAATAAAGACTTCCACTAGTTTTCCACCACTACAATTAATGGCATGATAAAGTTCGACACATACCGAAAAGTGTCACTATCCCAATAAACGCATTAGACGACTTTATAAAGCTCTACATAGGTCGAAACAAAATATTAATAAACGCTTGTTCTACAACTGGTATCTGTGTTCATACTACCCACCTGATCTAAATTTTTACACGGTTACAAGCTATATTGTTTTTGGTTTGATAATTCCTATCCAAGGACTATTTAAAACGTCTCAACAGTAATAATAATGAATGCTTCAACGAATCACAGGGGTAAAATATACAATGTGTAGGAGATTAACAGTTAAAATATCAATTATACATGAATTTTATATGGCACCTAGAACCCACGGTTAACCTACACGAGGCGAGAAATACACATTAAAAACACGGAAAACCCGTCATGTGGTTTTTTTGCTGTCATTCCTATTATGTCTGGTGTACTGAGAAGTAGTTAAGATGTGGGTAGACAGACCTAATTACATTCATGTTTATAATACAACATTCTCAATGTTTATATATGTTTACGTATCCTTTAATATAAACATTTACTTTTCCCAAACATAGCAGACATGTAAAATGAATGAATGATAATTGTCGACTCAAAAAGTTATGAAAAGCAAACCAAAAAACTACGGCATATGCTAAGTTCTGAACTCAATGGAGATTTCATTCTCATTGTCTAGCATGATTGATGAAGCATGAATGATGATGTAACGTGATTATCCAAAACTTTAGTTATCCAGAACAGCAGATTATGAGTCTTTTTCTAAATATATATATATATATATATATATATATATATATATATATTATATATATATATATTATATATATATATATTATATATATATATATTATATATATTATGGCTGTCGTGCACAAGAAATGTTTTGAAAAACTCTGCATTTGATAAGACAAATACATAATACATTAGTCAGTATACACATGCTTCATCCCAGATGTTTTTCTTGGAGGGGGGAAATAAGGGGTAAAAAACCCCTTTACTCTTTATAAAGGACATTCCCATCGAAATACCTTTATTTCTCCTAAGGCGAGTACAGACCAGAAACTATTTGAAATATTTGTATATATCCATTTTTGGGGCAAAATCTGACTGGACCAGGCAGAGTTTGCCCGGATATAATATTGTGTTAAACCAGCTAAGGTTAACCTCCATATAATCTTATTTTTAACCTTTGGTTAAATCCAGGATGCGCACACCAGAGATGGCGTGACAAGATGTACACACAGAGACGACGTACAGTACATCATGGTGTACACACAGATGACGTGTCAAGATGCACATATGGACACGACGTATCAAGAAGTACACACAGACGTGTCAAGATGTACACACACACAAATATGACGTATCAAGGTGTACACACACAGAGATGACGTATCAAGATGCACATAGAAACGACGTATCAAGATGCACATAGAGACGATGTATCAAGATGCGCAGAGACGACGTATCAAGATGCACATAGAGACGACATATCAAGGTGCACATAGAAGCGACGTATCAAGATGTAAACACAGACGACATATCAAGATGTGTACACAAAGACAACGTACATCACAGATGACGTGCGTCAAAGAACACTACTAGTCAGATCCCCACTTATAACAAACAACATCTACTGCCTCCACTAGTCAACAAAACACATCCGCAAGAGGACTCTACAAGCAGCGAGCTTTGTCTCGCTAGTTCTCAACCCCAACAGCCAGCGCTAGTTACGTTCCACTAGTCAGCCTCTCCTTACTAATTTTTTATGGGTAAGTGCCGAGTCCACGTGTATGGGTCAGCCAGAGGGAGGAATGGTGAACACTCGACCCTCCGTCTCATGATAGCAGCCTGTGTTCTTGACCGGTGAAACTAGTCAGCCTGGTACAACTGGTTACTAGCTAGGTGAGCTTTACAACTAGCTGGTTCACTAGTCATCTTGAGCTTACAACTGATTCATTTGCAATATGGACCTTATAACTAGTTCTCTAGTTAGCCTAGGCTTGCCAGATGATTCATTTGTAATTTTGACTTTATAACTAGTTGGTTTACTAGTTAGCCTGGGCTTACAACAAGCCGAGTCATTAACACTATGGATAGCATAACTAGGTGGATAGCTAGGCAGGTGGGTCTAGGAACTAGCCTCGTCCCCAGCTACACCATAGAGAGTCTTGGGAGTGAGAAAGGCGATAGATTGATATTGGTACACCAGAAAGATTGTAGAATTTTACGATATATGTTCTATAGAGAGACCTAAGTGTGAAAACCTCAGCAGAAGAAAAGAGACGCAGCTCTACCTGACCACAGCCTCCCCAAGACTAATACTTCATAACACAAAATTTTGTATATATACTTACAGATTTGGTTTCCTTGTAAAGGTCGAGTTAATCTATTTTAAATCTTTAACTAAATCACTTTCACAAGATTATTTCAATCTGTTAAAAATATAAGTCTAGGTAAGTTTTCTTAAAAAGTACACATCAAGTTTCTGAAATGCTATATATATATACAGTATATGCCTAAGAATGATGCAACCAGACGAGCCACGTCCAGAAATATTTTAGGAAAGACTTTGATTTTCTCTGAGGATTTTCTTGTGGCTGAAGTTCTGGTCATTTACACTGGAGTTATTCTGTACATCATAGCTGACCAGTCCTTTCACAGGAAATTAGTAATTTATTGGAAATTTAACGTTGTTTTTTCAGTCCTACAAACGTTTATTATCATCAACTCGCAAGATGGCGGCCGACCGAATTCCTATCAAGCTCCTAAAATGGTTCACTTTAAAAGAAATGATCTTTGGACTGTATAACCCAAGAAATAAAATGTGCTATATATCTTTATACAATGTACTCAAGTTCAGTGTTAGCACTGAGCAAGATAACTGTACCTTTCTCTTCATCTTAACTACATAAACAGCAGATAATCTTAACACACAAAATGTTGTAGCAAATATCATTAAAGGGCTTTTATACAACAATAATCTGGTCTAATAACAGGGGGAAATTGACCAAGAACCACAGTTCACTATAAAAAAAAGTGAGGAATTCGGTCCTGTTTTGTAGAACCCAGCAGTGTATCGTTATGTTTATGTCCGTATGTATTTGAAGCGTTGGCTCAGTCTTCTGGGCTTGGTAGTGGCCATCTTGCGTTCCTTCTGGCTTCCGCTGCCGACCAACTGCAACACAACCATAAATTTAGACCTAATTTGCAGTATATCACAGTTGATGAGACGTCACATGTGCAACAGTTAGGTAACTATTACGAAACGTTTTTGCCTACACAGAAGGTTTCTTCAGTTGAGTACAGAAGACGTATTTTTGAAGTGGTCAGTGACCACCTCGAAACTACGTCTTCAAGGGTGTTGGATTGATTACATCATGTCTACTGTCTCCTCTGCACTCGACTGAAGAAGACTACTGTGTAGGCGAAACGCTTCGATACTGTATACCATTATCATATTCACAGCGTTATCACAGGATAAGCATAGCCTGTACCTCTTTCGTACATCACTGACGTTACTGGGAGAATGTTTCACTCTGAGGGAAAAAATCACAGGATGGGTTTTCCTTGAACCCATGGCAGGTAAGTCCTAAAACTCACCTGCCACAGGGTCAAGCCCCACCCATTCCGTGATTTTAAAATTGTTATTACGATTTCGTGAGTCACTCTGAGGAGAGCTGTTAACATCAAGTCTTAGAGAAACACTGTCCAAACAGAGGAACTTTTATCATTTTTAATTCAAAGACTGCCAGAGAACAGGGAAATGAGAAGAGCCAGAAATGAATATTCATGGATAAGAAGAGAGGCTGAGCAACAATTTGAGAGTGACAGCGTCAAAACTCAAATGTGAGCTTAAGTCTTTGTCTTCATTCCTATAATGAGATTAACATCTCTTAATCTGAAAATTCAACGACATAAAAATAAGGAAATTACTAAATATAAGCAAGAGCTCTATAGTTGTTTAAACTGTGATATAAACATGCCTAACATCTAATGGTTATAACCATAACCATAATTTCTAAAGGGGTGGAGGGGCAAGCCAGTGGAAGGCCTCGGTCAGATGACCAAAAGTTCCAGCTGTGGGTCATCATATAACTAAGACCCGCATCAGGAAACACTTGTCCTGTTTCCTGACACACTTTACCTAACCTAACAGGAAATAAGCAGAAACTACGAAAAAATCAGCCTCTTATATGTCCCCCTTCAAGGATGCCTATTTAATAATCTGAAAGAAGTTTAAGTAACAGTTAAGGAATTCTATTACTTAATAATTAAATAAAAACTGATCAAAAGTGATCTTTCCCACACATCCTTATTTTGAGAAGTTTAATCTCAATTACCTAAAATAGGAGAAAAACAGTATTCACTCTTCCATATACTCGATTATATATGAGTAGTTGGATTATTGTACCCACAGAACAAGTGGTATTGATCAATAACAACACTGCACTAGCCAAGGATTCGAACCCATGCTATTTTGGCCCGCCTCATGGTGAGAGAAAACGCATGATGCTTTAGACCACTAAAGCGTCATGCGTTTTCTCTCGCCATGAGGCGGGCCAAAACAGCATGGGTTTGACTCCTTGGCTAGTGCAGTGTTGTTATGAGTAGTTGGAGATCATATTTGTTAATTAAGGCGAGGCAAATTAAGACTTGACTTGACCTACCTGTCTACCAGTGTGTCGAGGTAAAATAATGATATCTACATCTACCGTTGTGCTAGGGCGAGACAACTAGCCAGGCCTACCTCTCTACTGTGTGAGGATAACACAGCTAGCAAGGCTTACCTTTCTACCGAGGATAACATATCTAGCCAGGCCTACCTCTCTACTTCTGCGTGAGTATGGCATCTGCCTCCTCCGGGTCCTTGAGTGTGTGCCACTGAGCGATAGGTCGGCGTGGGGAGGCCAACATGTCCGACCAGTGACGGAGCTCAGTGCCAGAAGCATTCATACCCAGCACGCACCGACCAATCGGCTCAGAAGTGCCGATCCTGTCATAATCCACCACCGTCACTTGCAAGTTCACTTTCTGCGGGAGGAAAATGGCCGGTCACTTTAGTTTCTGATAGTTTTATTAAACACTAAACACCCATCTTGTGGGTGAAAGATGCTAATACAGGGTTAAAAACAACCTGTTCTCCTAATGCCACTTTCACACAGGGTTAGGTTAGGTTACAACAGTGCCATGTTGTTTGTTATTAGGATAGGATAGGATTTCGTTCGGATTTTTAACCCCGGAGGGTTAGCCACCCAGGATAACCCAAGAAAGTCAGTGCGTCATCGAGGACTGTCTAACTTATTTCCATTGGGGTCCTTAATCTTGTCTCCCAGGATGCAACCCACACCAGTCGACTAACACCCAGGTACCTATTTGCTGCTAGGTGAACAGGACAACAGGTGTAAGGAAACGTGTCGGAATTTCCACCCGCCGGGAATCGAACCCGGGCCCTCCGGGTGTGAAGCGGGAGCTTTAGCCACCAGACCACCGGGCCACTTAGCCACCAGACCACCGGGCCGGTGGTCTGGTTGGGCCGGTTTCGAAACGGATGGGCCGGTTTCGAAACGTTTCAGGGGTCTGGGTAGGGTCAAAGCCCACATGTCTAGAAGAGTAATGATGAGAAGTAAGACTACTGTGAATCACGGTGATGATATTGGTGAGGGTTAGAGGGACTCGGGGTTAAGATGAATGTCAGTGGTTACAGCTAAGAATGATTAGGGCTAGCCGTAGGACATTTTATTTGGATTCTTAACTTGGAGGGTTAGCAACCCAGGATAACCCAATGAAGCCATTCTGGCTTATTACCGTAAATGACCTTTGATTGTTTTACCCAGAACGACCCAAAACAGTTGGGTAGACACCTAGGTAACAACCTAACTGCTAGATGAACAGGCTTAACTGGCGTGAGGAAACATCTCCAGCATTTACACTCATCCCAGGCTCAAACCCGGGTCCTTCAGTAGTTAGCCGAAGGCTTTACCATTTAAGCCATACAGGAAATATTGCTGTGAGATACAGTCTAAGGCGTACAGCAAGAAGTTGTCGCTAACATACATTTTCACAATAACTAATCAAATTACTAACACACATGACTAGGCAGTATTTTGACTCTCAGGACATAGTTTAAGTAAATTTATTTACACGATTCATTACCTTTGTAACCTGTTCATCTATCAAAACTTTGGGGCCCTGTCCCTGGTCCCATTATGTACCTCTGTAATCTTTTGACTACCGTCCACAGGATGGGTATGGGGTACATAAAAAAACATATTAAACTCAGGAAATAGGACAGTGTCTTCTGAGACTGTCCTATCTCCCATTATGATCCATCAACTGATTATGGCTATCTCACCTACCTTTCCAACTCAAACGTATGTAGGTAAATTTATTTCTTCTAATTAAAATTAAATATTTTTGATAAGTTGGTTGGTTTTTGGGGTTCAAAGCCTATCGGTTGGTTGGTTAACAGAGTTCAAAGCCTATTGGTTGGTTGGTTAATGGAGTTCAAAGCCTATCGGTTGGTTGGTTAATCGTTTCAAAACCTATCGGTTGGTTGGTTAATGGGGTTCAAAGCCTATTGGTTGGTTGGTGGGTTAATGGGGTTCAAAACCAATTGGTTGGTTGGTTAATGGGATTCAGAGCCTATCGGTTTGGTGGGTTAATGGGGTTCAAAGCCTATTGGTTGGTTGGTGGGTTAATGGGGTTCAAAGCCAATTGGTTGGTTGGTTAATGGGATTCAAAGCCTATTGGTTGGTTGGTGGGTTAATGGGTTTCAAAGCCAATTGGTTGGTTGGTTAATGGGATTCAAAGCCTATTGGTTGGTTGGTGGGTTAATGGGGTTCAAAGCCTATTGGTTGGTTGGTGGGTTAATGGGGTTCAAAGCCTATTGGTTGGTTGGTGGGTTAATGAGGTTCAAAGCCTATTGGTTGGTTAGTGGGTTAATGGGGTTCAAAGCCAATTGGTTGGTTGGTTAATGGGATTCAAAGCCTATTGGTTGGTTGGTGGGCTAATGGGGTTCAAAGCCTATCGATTACACTAGGTCATTATCATGTAAACCGTTCATTACCAAACAAGAGTACTTTAATACCTAGTAGGAATTAAAGTATTCTCAGCATATACAGGTTGAGAGAAATACACTTCTGGGTATATATATCCAGTAAAGCTTAGTTTAAAAATCCTTTATACGTAGTAAAAGTTCCTAATTTTACTAAATTTAATAAACTATTTACATTTAAGTTAAAAACTGTAAAATATTACCATATATAGAATTATATTTTTTTGTTTACAAAATAATTACCACATAACACAAATGATAAACACACCTGGATTTGTTCGAAGGGGATTTCAAATGAGAAGGATTCATTATAGTAAGGGTTGAGGGTACACTTCTTAATGCTTGTTTTCTTTTTCTTAAGACGTTTCCCATTCTGGATGAGACAGATCTTGACGTAGGGATCTGCGGGAGGGATGACATGGTATAGAAGTATATAGAAGAAGCATAGATATATAAATATGGAAATATTAAGACATTTCCCATTTTGGATGAGACGGATCTCAACATAGGGATCCGCAGGAGAGATAACATGGTATAGAAGTATATAGATAAAAAATACACATGGAAGTAAGTCACTGTGTTTGACTCTTGTTTGGGGGTTATCCTAAGTAATTTACACATGTTACTATGTATGATAATTGTACTTATGTGTACCTGTGCCTAAATAAACTACTTAACACGTAGTGTTAAGTAAACTTACTTAACATGTAGTGTTAATTATTATTATTATAATCAAGGGGAAGCGCTAAACCCATAGGATTATACAGCACCTGGGGGGAGATGTGGAAGGCATTCAGGCTTAATTCGGGGAACTGGAGCACAGATCCAATTCCCTAAATCAAGAGCCCCTCACCAGCATCAAGGAACCTTCCCTGAGGGGCATGTAGTGTTAAGTAAGTTTATTTAGGCACAATACCAGTCCTGGTATTGTGCCTTTTTATTCTTTATATATGTGACATTTTGGTATGTGGAGACATCAAAATATGTGCATATTAATCTGATTAAATTTAGGATAGTGAATAGGCTGCCAAGCATATATGTGACGTCTATGTAATAGCATGTAGCGATTCTTTTGTACTAGCCTCTGTTAGTAATGTAAAATAGTGGAACTCTGGTGTTCAAACGTATCCGACCTTTAATAAACCAGTCTGAAAAAATTGGCCCAATCTTTGAACGTTTTTCTGAAGTCTGAACGCGCTGATTTGTTCACAATTCAGTTGTAAAAAATTTTACATGACAGTCCTGTTTCAAAAGTGCTTTGAGGTGACCTCTGACACTGATCAAACTCTCAAGAGACTTTTGGAAGAGTCAGTTCAATATCCTCCAGAGTGTGAGGGAAATACTATTTCCTGGTAAATACTATTTCCCACATCAAACTTTTTGCAGTTCCAACACCACCTCGGAACCAATTAAGTTCAAACATCAGGGTTCCACTGTACTTTGTACTAATGGCAGTGATCATATCATCAATAATTACTGATGTGTATTATTTCTATTGTGTATAGTAATGTTGACTTAAAATTTATTTTGAGGTTTGGTTAACAATAATAATGTTTAAAAGGAATATATTATACAAAAACATTCCTGAGTACAAATTTAAGTGAAAGATTTCCATAACTGTCAATACAGTTGTGAAAAATAGTAAAAGTTTGGGTTATATATCACACTTTTAATCGCAAATAGTACTGACTTCAGGTGCCTGTCCAGTGCCTTTTTAAAGACAGCCAGGGGTCTATTGGTAATTCCCCTTATGTAGGCTGGGAGGCAGTTGAACAGTCTTGGACCTCGAACACTTAGGGAGTGATTTTCGAGTGCAGGTTTGGTACCAATCCATCCAGGACCTTCCAAGTGTACATTATCATGTATGTCTCTTGCCTGCATTCCAGGGAATACAGATCAAAGACCTTCAACCATTCCCAGTAATTTAGGTGCCTTATCATGCTTATATGTGCCGTGAAAGTTCTTTGTACACTCTCCAGGTCTGCAATGTCTTACACTAAAATTAAACTATTTTGACTAGAAATCCCTTATTTTACATTAAGAATGCTAAATCTTTTTGATTTTGAGGACTATAGTCTTCATCTTGAGTGTAGTAGTCAGGGCCGGATTAACGCATAGACAAACAGGCATTGCCTAGGGCCCCCGCGCATTTGGGCCCCGACGTCCAAGGGGTTAGGGGCTCATCCAAGACTGCGCACATGGTGAAGTGCAAAGGGTCCCTACCTAAAATAGTTCAAGTGTTTGTGGTAGTAATAGTTGATGTTTTAAAAATTATCAAACAATAATAGAATAATGAATAAATAAAATAAAATTGATAAACCTAACCATAGTTGGAAGCTAGAACGCCTTTGTTACATCAGAACAGCTGTGTTTTCCGCTAATTGGGTGAGATGGGATAGTTCCTCTCATATGATTTTCTGTAGTTTATATGGTTTGATAGTCTTATGCATGATGAGATGATAACATAATGGTCAGTGAGTTTTATAAAGGATATAGTGCTGTAGTGGTATGTGATATATAGGTACATGTTGTCACTACGTTTAATAGCTAATGTAGTAATTATGTTGTTGAGTTTATTCTTTTAATGATATTGATGTTTAACAGATAGTTATAATGGCTGTTGTAAATGGTGATGTTTGTGTTGTTTGATGTGTATTTCTATTATTGTATTAATAGTAGATATGTTTAATTAGCTTAACAGTGTACGACATGATAAGCTGTGTAAGGGGTGTTCGTTACCGTAGCTAATAGTGGTAGCAATTGATAGTATGCCGTGTAGGACTAGTTGTCCAGCCTGTATAGTGATAGTTGTGTGGTAGCAGTGATAGTTGTGTGTAGCAGTGATAGTTGTGTGTAGAGTGTAGTTGTGTGTAGTAGTGATAGTTGTGTGTAGTAGTGATAGTTGTGTGTAGCAGTGATAGTTGTGTGTAGTAGTGATAGTTGTGTGTAGTAGTGTATAGTTGTGTGTAGCAGTGATATGTGTGTGAGTGATGTTGTAGTAGTGTGATAGTTGTGTGTAGCAGTGATAGTTGTGTGTAGCTAGTGTAGTTGTTGTAGCAGTGATAGTTGTGTGTAGTAGTGATAGTTGTGTGTAGCAGTGATAGTTGTGTGTATAGTATAGTTGTGTGTAGCAGTGATAGTTGTGTGTAGCAGTGATAGTTGTGTGTAGAGTGATAGTTGTGTGTACAGTGACTAGTTGTGTGTAGCAGTGATAGTTGTGTGTAGCAGTGATAGTTGTGTGTAGTAGTGATAGTTGTGTGTAGATGTGAGTTGTGTGTAGATAGTGATAGTTGTGTGTAGCAGTGATAGTTGTGTGTAGCAGTGATAGTTGTGTGTAGAGTGATAGTTGTGTGTAGCAGTGATAGTTGTGTGTAGCAGTGATAGTTGTGTGTAGCAGTGATAGTTGTGTGTATGATAGTTTGTGTATAGTGATAGTTGTGTGTAGCAGTGATAGTTGTGTGTAGCAGTGATAGTTGTGTGTAGCAGTGATAGTTGTGTGTAGCAGTGATAGTTGTGTGTAGCAGTGATAGTTGTGTGTAGCAGTGATAGTTGTGTGTGTAGGTGATAGTTGTGTGTAGCAGTGATAGTTGTGTGTAGCAGTGATAGTTGTGTGTAGCAGTGATAGTTTGTGTAGTGATAGTTGTGTGTACTAGTGATAGTTGGTGTGTAGTAGTGATAGTTTTGTGTGTAATAGTGATAGTTGTGTGTAGCAGTGATAGTTGTGTGTAGCAGTGATAGTTGTGTGTAGCAGTGATAGTTGTGTGTAGCAGTGATAGTTGTGTGTAGCAGTGATAGTTGTGTGTAATAGTGATAGTTGTGTGTAGCAGTGATAGTTGTGTGTAGCAGTGATAGTTGTGATGTAGCAGTGATAGTTGTGTGTAGCAGTGATATTTTGTGTGTAGCAGTGATAGTTGTGTGTAGCAGTGATAGTTGTGTGTAGCAGTGATAGTTGTGTGTAGCAGTGATAGTTGTGTGTAGCAGTGATAGTTGTGTGTAGCAGTGATAGTTGTGTGTAGCAGTGATAGTTGTGTGTAGTAGTGTTATGTTGCAACTCATGTAATTCTCGAGTCATCCACATTCCAATTTTCACATCCATTTTATGAAAAGTTAGTCTATTGTTTTTAGCCTTAAATGACCAATATGGGCATACGGTAACAAGTAGTGAGAAAGACACTTTAAAGTAAAAAATTTTACGGGTATAAACACAGCTGGATTAAAATTTTGTAGGCTCCTGGGCTACAGGTACTGTGAGACTCCCAGTGATATTTCCAAAATGAAAAAAATAATTACAACAATCAATAGTTCATCACATACATGATGTAATATACTATAATTATAAACTTACAGCAATAACTCTCAACACTGTTCACTTAATCTCTGGAGGCCTTCCAGGTGGCAGATGATCCTGGGCTGCAACCCCACAAGCTGCAACCCCTCAAGCTGCAACCCCTCAAGCTGCAACCCCTCAAGCTGCAATCCCTCAAGCTGTAACCCCTCAAGCTGCAACCCCTCAAGCTGCAACCCCTCAAGCTGCAATCCCTCAAGCTGTAACCCCTCAAGCTGTAACCCCTCAAGCTGCAACCCCTCAAGCTGCAACCCCTCAAGCCCATGCCTTACTCGGGCCTTGGGTCATTGGCAGTGAGAAGTGATTGAAGAAATCACGTGAGCAAACACTAGCACATATTTATTAGAAAACATTTCAATTCAAGGTCTCTGAATTGAAAGGTTTCTCTAATATAGCCTAGTTTGCTAATGTTGCTTTAAAACCTTTATTTCGACGTTTCATCCAGGACTGGATAAAGGTGTGTATGGGAACTCACCTATATGGTTGGAGGCGTCGATTCACAGCTCCTGGCCCCGTGTGTGCGCACACGCTCACCTATATGTGCTTGCAGGGGTTGAGTCACAGTTCCTGGCAGCCCTATGTGTGTGTGTTTCTCAGTGAGGAAGAACTCATATATGGGGGTCTCACCTGATAATCCACCAACATCCATCTTCTTCAGGTTCTTGGCCTCGAGGATGACTACGGTGAGCTTGCCGGCCGTGGGTACGTAGCGCAGAGAGAAGCAGATGTCTCCCAGCTTGTTTTCCTGTTCCCACGCACACACACACACCTCTGTTAGAACCTGCTATACCCTGCCTCTATATGCTCGTCAGTACTACACACTTGATGCACGAGTATGAATGAGGATGTATGAACTATGTAATAATGATGATATATGTATATATCCCATTTGAGATGTGTTTATTGTCATCGATGTAAGTACTTGATTCAATAGTATGAATGAGGAAGTATGATCTATATACTAATGATATATGTATATATCCCACTTGAGATGTGATTATTATAACAAAAGTATATAATCTACACTTGATTCAATAATATGAATGATGAAGTATAATTATATACATATACACTCGACACTTGAAGTACATTATTTATGATAGATGAATAAAGTACATATTAATGATTACACCTGTATATTAAGAATCCACTTGCATAGCAACAAAAGTCACAGGTAACATAGCTCTCTATATTTCGGCTAAAATCAGAGACTGTCTTCAGAAGGTGAAGAGGCTACCTGACCAAGGCTAAGATACACAGATCTCTGTTACCAATGTTCCACATTACTGTGCAAGTGCTTTCTCACTTCTCCATACAGTAATGTTACAGAGGCATCAATCCAAGTATAGTTATCTTATATATGTTGTAAAATTAAGAGACAAAAATACATTCTAAATTACGTCTTATATAACGCATTATCTAATGCATTATATTTTAAGGTTTATCACTAAATCCGTCTTACCCTTATGGACTTACCGCTTCCCTGGATATATTACAGTAATAATTTAAAGATCGTTTACCATATATAATTTGAATTACAAAAAAACTGGTTGATCTAAAACAGCTGCCTGGTTGATTTAACAGACGAATGGTTAATCTAACACAGATCGGTTAATGTAACAGCAGGATAACTGATCTAACTGGCACTTGCCTTGTGACTGAGGAAAACACTTGTCAACTAATAAAGACCACTGTACAGAACCACTGTACATGTGGTTTTGTTCTAGTGTAAATAGATGTTTATGAGGTCAATACCAGGAGTGTTGCCATGACACATTATATACAGGGAAGGTGAAGTAGGTAGGTATAAGGTTTGTTGGGAAACAGGACAAGTGTTTCCTGATGTGGGTCTTTGTCATATGATGACCCGCCACTGGAGCTTTTGGTTATCTGACCGAGGCCTTCTGCTGGCTTACCCCTCCACACCCATTAAAAATTGATGGTTATTATTATAACTATTCTTAAATGGTGAAAGGTGAAGTGGCAGGAGGAGGGCTTATATATCATGTGTAGTGATGGAGTGTGAGAACACTAGCCACATGATTTGACGTTGAAATATTAGTTCTGCAAGTGGATTGGTGATACTAGTCTTCCTGATGTTGTTCTACAGTGTTGGGAGTGTGTATCTGTGGTCGCCAAGCACTGTCTCCTGGTCCTCTTGTCTTTAGTGTAAAGTGCAGTGTGTTCCAACTGCATGAGCTGAGTGATTTTTCTGTGCATAAAACCCTCATCATTCAAGACGTGAGCATGGCATGCATTACCACCATATTTCTGTTCAATAATTCCGGTGTGCAGACTACATCATGTTTCATGAGATCTTATACACCTGCTTCACTGTTATGATTTTTATCTTCGCCTTGTTTACTGATGAATGATTTTCACGGTAATATTACCTACTCTGGTGTTGGTCAGTTGTAGGGCTGGTATTGTTCACTAGGCTCCCTGGCTACCATCCTCTCTTAACTTTCAGTATTGTTTCTCGCCTGTAGTCGGAAGTACAGTAACCTGTTTTAGCTTTACAAAAATCTTGGTGCTAGTGTTGTATTTTTTTATATAAAAGAAACTATAGGCGACAAATCCTACAGCAAATACAACACCATCGCAATATTTTTTTGTGGCTAAAATGCGTCGCTACATCTCCGGCTGCAAATGAAAGAAAAACATTGTCAACAGACCAGAGGAGAACACTGACTCAAGTGACCTATCCAGGGTATAATTTATACCTATATAATGATTAAAATCATAACCATAATTTTTAAAGTGATGGAAGGGTAAGTCAGCAAGAGCCCTTGGTCACATGACCCAAAGCTTCAGCTGCAGGCTATTATATAACTAAGACCCAGTCAGGAAACACTTGTCCTGTTTCCTGACAAACCTTACCTAACGTAACCTACCCAGGGAGTGTGGTGAAGAACGCCAACAGTAGCACCCAACTGAGTAACACTGAGGTAGTTATATTGCGACAATCAGTTTAGTTAAGATGAGGCTTGACAAGGCTCCAAGTAAGCTACATGAAGCCTAGAAAATAAATTTCAGAACGTTGCCAATTTACATAAAATGAAGGAGCTATCATTTTTTTTTTACGATTAATTAGACTAAAACTTAAAATATGGTGGTAATGTACACCACATTCACAGCTTAATACGATGTTGATGCTATAGAGAAAAATCACTCACACCTCATAGACTGTGAACACACTGCACTTAATGCTAAAGAAGATAATAAGATTGGGAAACAATGCTTGGAGGCCACAGTCATGCAGATTTTCAACACTGCATAACAAAATCAAGGAGCCATTAGTATCACCAGTCTCCTTGCAAGACTAATCTTACCAGGTAAGAAAATAACAGCCAATATAAGTGAGGCCAGTGTCCACACTTCATTACTAGACCTGATACCTTGTCTCATTATGTCACCTTGCTTTTCCTGTGTATAATGTCACGAGGGCACTACTCCTTCCTTGTATTGACTTGATACTGGTCTACAAAAAGCAAATTGTTGGGTGCCAACAACACTTTGTTCTCACACAGTGTCTTGCTACTATTACTGTGTCTTGTTACTGCTACTTGCAGTGTCTACACATGATTGTAATATCAGTATTACCTGCTCCAGGATATTAAACCTTCATTGCTGTTCTGCATAATAATATTACCACTATTCTCTGTAGCAGTGATAACATACTGCTCTTTGTAACAGCAACTCCTCTGTTCTTCGAAGCAGTAACATCACCATTCATTATGACAACAAAAGAAACTAATCTGAAAATTTCTGTTTATCAATCAGTAAATGCACAATGTCACGATGTTCTGAAAAGTCAACAAAAGCATAATATCTGCGGGATAACAAAAGCACGTTTGCATGTCATAGTTCATCAGAAAATATTATAGATCTGTCAACAATGACCCTCACAGAGTAGCTTGTACTTTCCAGTCTTATCATGGTGAGGGAGAGAACAGAAACGAGCCAAGACCTGTAACCTGTCTGCTCTATCATGGTGAGGAAGAGACGAGCCGGGAACTTAAATAAAAATGAAGAGAGTCCTGTAAAGCAAAATAATAAGGAACAGCAAGTAGAGTTTTAATATGGCCTCTGTATCATTAGGATCCATTCCAGCGGAGATGATTATGTATATGAAACTTAGAGAGCCAATGAGGTAATGTGAGGAATATACTTGTGACGTGACCGCTAGTGTTGTGTACACTTGTGTTGATACCACTGGTGTTGCAGGTAGACACTGTATTCTCTCATGTGAGAGAGTTTGTGTTTGTAGACCAGTAGTGTAGAATATCATAAGCATATTTGTCAAAGCAATGGGAAGGTGGAAGCCATGAGCTGTCTCATTGGATGGTTAATGGGGAAGAGTTTTACAACCTCACGCTTTCACATCCACAGTGGAATGTGATCAGTGGATGGTGGATAGGAGAGACGTTCACACTCTCACAGCTTCACATCCACTGTGGAACTTGATCTTCTGTTCTTTGATAGTCAAGGCTAGTCTCTGCCACTTGATAATCTAGGATAGTCCTCACACCTATGAACCATCAAGTCCACTTTTAAATCTTGATAATTTAAATCCAAAACGTTTGTATATATATATATATATATATATATATATATATATATATATATATATATATATATATATATATATATATATATATATATATATATATATATATATATATATATATATATGATAAGTTTTGCTTAGAGTGAAATACGAAAGTGAAAAATAGAGGTGTCAGTCCACAGAGGTAGTGATACGTTCTCAGTAGACTGGCAAAATGGAGGTGTCAGTCTACAGAGGTAGTGATACGTTTCTCAGTAGACTGGCAAAATGGAGGTGTCAGTCCACAGAGGTAGTGATACGTTCTCAGTAGACTGGCAAAATTATAAAAAAGTCATTCTTTTAAACCTTAACCCTAGAAGTATGAGGGCGGGTGTAGTAATAATGTTAGCATCATTGCTTGTACCATTTCTTGCACCATATCTTGCACCATAACACAATGGTAGCAACATACGTACCACGTACAGTGATGGGATGGAGGGAAGGGAGGAGGGGAGGGGAAAAGTGTTAGTTATGTTATTAATGTCTACGAAGGAAACATCCTGAAACATAACACATTTGTTAGGGAAAAACATTAAACTTACACCTAAACAAACTTTGCCAGAGGATTTGTTTGGTGTTAGCATGTCTAGAATTCTGTGAATTAGCCTAGAACCCCTTTTTTAAATAGAATTTTTAAAGTAGTACAGTTTTTTAGAGGTGAGGTAGATAACATAGTTAAACTCTACAACGTGAAGAAAATCTGCAAAACCAGCTCTTATTGATATGTTTAGCTCCGTATAGAGCTGTCATAACTTGATCAAGTTCTACACGGAGTGAAACGTTGACTCAATAACAGCTTCTCCTGCAATTTAGTCTTTACTCTTAACCAGTGACTGCTGTACATCAGTCACACCAGTTTAATAAGTCCATTTAAGTGACCGCTAACTTAATGTGGGAGAGAGAGGGAATCTGTAGCTGAGGTAGGCGTTACTGTAACTTAAAATACAGTGATTGTAGCCGATATACTAGGTGCTTTACTGTGTGGTTTACACCGCATTACGTATACTACACAGTGTGTAATGTATGCATGTGACTGTGGTGATAATATCGTATATAGTATGTGTATAACGGTGTTAAAAACACCATGTGTAGTGGTGCTGGTGTGAGGGAGTGTTTTACCTCCATTATGTCTAAGA